TACAGCTTCCAGTCAGAGGGGAGCTGTGCTGGGGCCGGACAGCTGGGAACTGACCCTACGCTGCTGCTGCTGCATTCTCCTTGCCCCTTCTCCTCCCAAATGTAGCATGGGTGCAGATGGAAGCTGCCTGGCCCTGGCACAGTTCCTCACTGACTGGGAGCTGTACCCATGCTCCAGCCAGGGAGCTTAGGTGGGGAGAAGCAGAAGGGATACAGGCATAACTTTCAGTTGCCCAGCCCCAGCATGGGTAGAGGCAAAGCCTTCCAGCTTTATAGGCCAGATAGAGCAGTTCCACAAGTCAAATCTGGTCCATAGACTATATTGCCAACTTGTGCCTAGATGACTTCAGTGAAAAATAAAGTGGAGTCTTCTAAAGGGTACAGAGACATTAGTAACTGGTCATAAAACAAAGCTGGCTTGTCAGTGCGTTGAATGAGATAACAAGGCTAAAAAGCTAGGGAATTGCAGCCTCTCTTGAACTAGGGAGATGAAACTCAAAAGCAGAATCCAGTTAACAGGATTCATTTTCTGTAAAAAATATAGAAAGAAAGAAAATGTTCACTGTGCTGGCAGGCAGATCTGTATTGCATTTGCCTTCTTGCAGCAGAGGTTTAACTTTTTTTGTAAATGGCAGTGAATGTACAATTTAAGCTACAATACAGTTATCACTTGTGTTACTAGAAGTTTTCCATAAAAATAATTTTTGATGTAAGCAGTTTATATGGCCTGTAAGGAGTTGTGTAGACAAATCTTTCTATGCAATTTGTATTGTGTAATTTACTTTGTCTATAATTCTACTTCTTTTAAGTACATATCAACATTAATGAAAATGTCAAAGAATAACTGCAAACATGTGATGGAATCAATTGAGTGGAGTGCTGAACTTCCTCTGGAGAATGCCAAATAGGTTAGATTAAATCTAGACAGCTAAAATGTCATTTTGGGTAGTCTTACGAATTTTCCTCAATTTTTCTGTGTCCAATAAACTGAAATGTGTGCCAAGTATAATTTCAGACAGGCCATAGCCCAAATCAGTAAACTGTGTTCTACTATGTAGAATGTTGGTTTAGAATTTAGAGTACGCCTACACCAATATTTAGGATCAGCGATGAGGTTATCCTCAAGCAATATTAACAGTTCTTCCCCCAGGGTTACCATACCTCGTGGGCTGTACTTAAACTGGCATGCTTGTTTTTTGAGCCTTCCACTAAGATGAATCCCAGGTTACGTTGTGGAGCCCCAAAAGTGATGAATCTGCAGATTACCTGTCGCTCCTTTTGGGCGGTAGAGAGAGGAAGTGGAATACAAACAACCTAGAGGACAGGAACAGGGAATTGTAGGACTATTGCCAACAGACTTACTATGCTTGTAATCAGCAGCATATAGGTAAAGTTCCAAACACGCTGCAAAAAGAAAAAGGTACAAGGGAGCAGAGGCAGGATTGAAGTTTAGCAGAGATTCCAGGGTGAGGCTAGATCCAAGGGATATACACTACAGGTATTTGGGAGGCAAGGGCTCGAGAGCAACCTCTTAAAGTTAATTTTCAGTGTGGCCACAGCTTTCATTACCCTGATATTCAAATAGGCTTCTGGGGAAGGGCAGAAAAAACCCTCTATTTTTACAAAAGATTTCTTCATGTGAACAGAAACTTCTGCAGTAACAAAAATCTGAAAACATCTTTCAGGTGTTTATGGAAATACAGAATAAAACTCATTAAAAAAATAGGATTGTGAAGCAAACTGAAGGTTTCACTACCATATCCAATGCAATCTATAGTATAGTAAGTAGCAGTTAATACCAGGACATCCTTAACAAAAAGGCTAAGACATAAATGGACATGAAAACTGGACTGAACTGCACCTAGAGGAGGTTGTTTCATAGTATGCATAACTAAAAGAAATAAGCCTATGTCAGAAAAACGGAACTACTGCTGCCAGACCTATTTTGGGCACAAACAGTAAACTTATTCTCTCAGGCTGTCTTTTACAACACCTGTCAAAACTTCTAAGTTTGCTGAAGCATAACAAGGGTAGGTAAGAGAAAAGCAGAATTAAAAATACTACATTTCTGGCTAAAGGTTTTGCATTCTAATTTTAGAACTACAGATGTTTTACTACAGTATTAAATATACCCAATTCATATTTGACTTACCAAAATGACTTCTTGCAGAACTAATCTTTTATTATTAATGAGAAAACATAATTCAGAACTAGTTTGTTATGGTATAACCACTCATTTTTATAATCTATTCTTCATTAAATTCTTTAATTAGACTCAATATACAGCTGCACCACACAGAAAAGAAGGATAAGTACTTTTTACATAAGTGAGCTGTACTTGTCAAATTATTTTTATCCTGTAAAAGATGAAGAGCTAGAATGTTTTGTTTTATGTGATAAGTAAAAATAAAAGTTTTTAGTTGCGTTTGAGAGTTTCTTTGTAGGGGGATGACTGGATTATTCTCTGTCATCTTGAGCTCATTTATGGGTACAATGTAATCCTTCTAAGGACAACTTCATTCACACAGGGCTATTCTGGCCAGGCATAACTTTAATTTCAGAGACTTAAGCAACTGTAAGAAAGCTTCTGTTACAGAAAAGGAAACAAATTATTAGAAACATTTGTGTAGTTCTTCATTTGACTTTTCCTCTTTGATAATCCTTTGAGTATGATCTAGCAAGTGCTGTGTCAACCCATTTGTTAAAAGTCCTATTCCTTCAATTAAGAAACACAGGTCTGCAAGACCTACAAGTAACACCTATAAATTCAGAGTTTTGTTTTGTTTTTTTTAAATCACCTTCTTCTTGACAACTGTTTGCCAGCTGTTTGAAGAGAGAAGGGAGCCAAGGGCTGAGGCCAGCAACAGATGGCAAGGAAAGAAAAAAAAACCCTAGCAGCTGTCTCAAGCTTAGTGAGGCTGCTGGTTGAGTTTGGAACTGAAATCTTTAAACAACTGGCAGAGAATTTCTAAATCTTAACATGCTATCTGGGAAAATTCTCTTTAGAACAAATGTTCTTTGGAAATGGAAATGAAGGACATCCTACAGCACTGAGCCTGTACACAACAGATGCACGAAGCCAACATAAGCTTGTCAGAAAGTCTGCAGTTGAATCTTTTGTATATAGGTACGAGTAGGCAGAACAATGACATTAACAAGCAAAAAAAAAATGCAACTGTTTAAAACACTCTCCATCCTCTAGCCTGTGAAGGGAGATAAAAAACACATGATAATTCTCTCCCCTCTCCTAAATCCACCAATACACTAAAAACCACGTGACTTTTGGATCAGCTTTAACAGGTCACATAACTGCCCTGCTGTCCTTATTTCACCATGGCATCTTGGGATGCTTCAGAATTTAAACTGCCACTGACCAATTCCCTAGCAACTCCAAATAGCAATTTATAGCAGGATTTTTGTGATAAAAAACAGTGCTTCTTGGATTAGTATTGATTCCATATTGGACCGCTAAAAGAAAAGCTTCAGGGCCTGTGAAAAAGCACTGACTGCTGTCATCTGCTCCCAAAATCCCTGCCAAAGACTATTCCAAGGGAATTCTGATGTGGGGGCTTTTGGGAAAACGCACTTTTGGAGCTGCATTCACTACCCTTCCCTATCATTCTGCCAGGACCTGTTTCAGCTTCCCTGTACTCTAAGACTGAGAAACAATGTTTTTTTTGTTCAAACACTACACTAGATACAGGATACCTGGATTCAATACCTTGCTCTGTTACAGACTTCCAGTGTGACATCTGGACAAACCATCTAACATTAGTGTTTTCCCTTCAAAATTAAATACCATTCCGTATTTCATAGTGGTGTTTTCATAGTGTGTTAATGTTTATAAGGTAAATCAGATATTCCAATGGGTGCCATAATTTTGAATAAATCTCAGAAGCTGAAGGAAGAGAACAAAATTTGTATGAAAAGGGCTTATTTACCAACAGTAGCTATTCTTCTCCAAAGGCCAGGTCCAGTTCCCTTCACAGTAAGGGAAAGAACTGTCACTGTTTTTAATGACCTGGATTTAATTCACAACTATGAAAAGTTTTTCAACAATAATTGGTTACTGAAGGGCACATACAATTCCTCAAACCTATATTCTTGCCATATGAGATTTACTTTCAATAGAAATAAAAAGTTTAAAATAACATGTTACTGATGGCAAAACAGTACAGTTTGAGAAGTCCATTAAAATCCAATCTTCTTCAGTTCCCTCCTCTTAAAAATATTAATTTTAGTACAGTCCACTGCAACCACCAGAAATACCAAACTCTTACTCCTATTTTTATACTACTGATAATACACTGTCTTAACTCACAAATAGTTTATTCCATTACCATATTCCATTCTTTGCCTTCAGGGAGATGCTACAATTCAGCTTTAGGAGCACTTCTCTAGTTTTCAGGCATAACAATTCTAAGAGACAAGAAAGTATTAACATCCCTGCACACTGAATCGGCCAACTCCTCCAAAGCCTAAACATTTTTAGAACTGGACTTTAAAAGGAAAAATAAAGAAATAGAAGCCCAACTCTGAGCAATTTAATTCTTTATATCAGAAATTGGCAACCTACGGCCTGCAGACCAGATCCAGTCTGTAGAGTCTTTGGATCCAGCCTGCAGAGCTGGCTGGGAGAAGTGAACACTTTTCTGCAACTAGGGGACAGGAGCCTCAGTGGAAGGGTAGCTCTCCCTGTGCTGTGCTGCAGTTGGGCAGCAAGAAGTGGCAGAGGCACCTGGGTCTTAGTACCTACCTACCTCAGTCCCAAGCTGGGTCATTCAACACCTCTGTTGTAGACTGTTTTGATAATACCAGGTTTAAAGGTCCACATTCCATACATCTTAAAAACAAACAAACGAGCAAAATCCAGAAACCTTCATACATACACTCAGAAACAATTCAAGTATTTGTTAAATTCCAGGTCAGTGTCAGTAGTGATTAACCAGTGCTTCAGACATTTGGAAAAACAGATATTATGAAAAAACTCATATGAAAAAATGGTTGAATTATGCAAATTTATTTCCAGTGAAACCAAATTTTACTACTGCTGTGATCACAGAATGTCTTCACATTTGATGCAAATATGAGAGATCAATTACAAAGTCACTCAGTGGCACTATCTTTGACAAAAAAAAATAGTTATATTAAGTAAAACAGGTTATACGCGTAACTTTAATAAGCTCCAACTGCACTGCAGTTGCAAGAATTTGAACGTGAAGTGCCACATTAATGATCAATCTTTTGGACAAATCTGGCGGGTTACAAGCTTAAGACATTACAAGTAACAGAAATAGTCTACTGCAGAGAATGGGTGCAATGTTTTTTCCCCCGACTTTCAGTTTGAAAATTTTAGCTATTACCATAAACCTAAACATAGTTTAGAAAGTCTTACATTCTCTTTCTAAACTAAAATATATACTATATATAGCATTTTTCTATATAATATTCTTATATATAATCATTTTCACATTGTAATTAAACAGGAAAGATTTACATTTTTAGCTTGATGGGCCAAAATCTCATTTCAGATACTTATTTTATTGTGTTCCTGAAGTGCTGTGGACTGAGGGAGGGGAATCATGATCAGACAAGAAGGAAGCGGCGGCTGCTTCAGGGAGGACAGGTGCAAGTACATGACGGCATACAGGGCATGTTCCCGACTAGAGAAGACAAAAAGAAACAGATTAATAGAATAGCACGTGTGTGACTGCATGCTCATAGGTAATGTTTCTAGAATAGGATCTTACATTGTAATACAGAATTACTTCAGATTTGGATAGAGGGGCTGGATGGAACAATAACAATAGCAATAGGTTAGTTAATACTGTCAGTTAAAATGAAAGTACTGTTTTACTTCCAGGGGAGCACCACCCTTAAAATCAGGCAAAAATAGATGTGACATTTAGATTACAGCCTTCTGTCAGTGGTATATATTATAAGAAACCCTGGTTTGAGGGATTCACTGTTAAGGCCCATGTGCTGTTTCTTGCTGTATAACTAGGTCAAGAAGTGCAGATAATTTGTGCTTGCTCCATCTTCCTACGCCAGTTCTTCAACAGCATGTAGGATTTGGTGATAAAGCATAGTTTAAACAGATTATTAGTTGCTGAAATAGGAATCTTAGAAATTGTGTCAAATTGCATCCTAACATGACTGCAAAAAACACTAATAGGAAGTTATTGGGTTAAAATCACCAGCAAATTAAAACCAAGAATATTTGCGAGCTGTCTACCATTAGCTAAAGATACACACCAAGATTAAAGACAAGAAGAACTATCCAGAAATATGAAAACTTGAACTGGGACAAACAATTTTCATTAATAACACAAAAGGCATTTAACACTGTATTAGAATCCTCTACAAATAGGTTTAGTCTAAAATAGATGAATAAAGGTGGGGACTGGGCATGTGTACACGAGACGCCTAATGCACATTAGATTATTTTACTGTGCATTAGTGGGCAAAACTCATCCTATTGCATAGCAGATGTAGTCTAAAGCACATTAACATCACAAAAAAGCACTCATCTGTGCTAATGGGCAGTAGTGTCAATTCCAGCACATTAAGTTAGTACTGGTCATTACAAGTACTAAAATTAATGCACATTAATGAACATGTTAATGTGCCCACTATTACTAAAACAGAGTGGACCAATTGTGGCTTGCAAGTTTAAATGTTGCTCCTGAAGAAAGTCATTTTATGATGAATTATTATTTGAGCAGGTGCACTGTGCACATATCACTGATTCTGGGGCATGCACATCTCAAAAGGTGTTGTATCATATGACTTTCAGTCTCATTACATTTTTGGTTTGTAGCGAGAAACTTTAGGAAGTTTGGCCACTCCTAATTTAGAATTTGTCATAATGGGCCCCTAACCTTGACTGGGGCTTCTGGGGCTGTACAGACTTAGGGATTATATCAGACTGAACAGTTAGTTTTTACTTGATTATGGAATGATTGTTTGGCATGCCTAAGACAAGGAACCACAAGATCAGAATGATTTTGAACTGGTTAATTCATCTGACAATAATGAATAGCTATAAGGAGTCTAAGTTTTCAATTTTCCTTAATATTATACAGTAGTAAAAAGAACACAGAACTTAGAGCTGGTATTAGGTGGTCTTATCCAAATCTCTAATATTGCTGGAATATTCCAGCAATTCACAACTGCTTCATTTAGTCGCTCATAATCAATGAAGCATTTAAAGCCTACCCCCCTTTGGAGACAATTCTATAAACTAGCAGAACTCAGTTAAGTTTTTTTGTACAGTAACACTACTACTTCTGGTTAAATTGCTCTAAAATACCTTAATTTTTCACCTTTAGCGATGTAGCCCTCATTAAATAGTTATATGGGCCTTTACTCTTCTTCTTGCTAGACAAGTTAAAAAGACAAGGGCTAAGTGCAGACATTTGGGGAGGTTAGCGGGAGGTTAGATTGGGTTAAAAATGGCCACCTGATCTAACTTATTTCACCCAGGTGTGGACTTTACACTTAGACCTGGTCCCAGCGATTGGAAATCAATCTAAACCCTTAATAGTACTGAAGTTCCGCACACATAAACAGATCCAAAAATGGCAGAACCTAGTCTACAGCAGACTTGGATCAGTGTACACTCAAACTGAATTAAGTTAGACTGGTGCACTGAACTTCAGTACAGTCACCTGCACAGCCCAAAGCTGGGAAAGCCAGGCTGCTGACTCCAGTACCAGGGTTGTACTTTTTGTGCACCTGCCACTGAACTATTTTTAGTACCTCAGCCCCTTGCCACCTCCACCTCCTCCTCCTCCCTCCCCACTCCTGCAGACCAGCCAGCCCCCTTGCTTCAACCCCCCACCCCACAAGCTGCTCCAGGTGCCAGAATTCATCCCTGCTAGGAGTCAAGGAAGTAATCATCGGTTGGGGGAGGAAGGGATGCAGTTGTACGTTAAGCCTGCTTGCCCCCCCAACCTCCCCAAGCCTCCCTGAATGTCTTCACTTAGTCGAAGTCTGAACAAGTTTAAGACTACTATATCAAATCAGTAAGAATTTTGTCTTATCTAATCAATTTACTTTTTTTTGGTTTGAGTGTTTTTTTCTAGTAACGGGGAGCCCAAACAAGAGCACGGTACTCTAAGGGTTAGTCTTTCCATCTCTTAGCCAGTCCAGAACTAGGGCTCTGCACAGAAACTGTGCCTCTTTAGTTGTTTATTTTATCTGTAGATCTTTAATATATCTAATGGTCAAGACCAGCTGGTTGTGGCTCCTATATTATGACTGCACCCTTTATAAGCAGTTTTTTCCCCCTCCCTCACAACTAACAAATTTAGTTCCTAAAGCAGTAGTCTCTAACCTTTAAGTAGATCACCTTTGGCATTTAAAAGCAACCCAAGATCTACCATGTACTACTGCCCCTGCCCAGCAAGTAAGTCTGTGGGGAGGGAAAGGGGGGCAGATCAAGGGAGAAGAAGAAAAAATTATCTGGGGGTGCGCCTCCTAGCATGTAAATCCCACCTGGCCAGGGCCCCACTCAACTTATCCCTATTTCTGCCTCTGCGGCACTTTCCCTCATTGTGGGGACTTTGATTTAGCCCCCTCCATTTCCCTCCCCCATGGACTGACCTGCTGGGCTGGGGCACATGCGTGCATGCACGCAGGCATTCAGTCACCCACCCCAGCCTCAGATTGAGTCCAAAAGGCTCTGAGATCTACTGCAAGAGGCTCTGAGATCTACCGGTGGATCAAGAACCACTGGCTGGTGACCACTGTCCTAAAGTGTTAAACTTGAATATAAATAAGTATAATGCAGTAATTAATAACAATAAATTACAACAGATATTATAAAAATAAATATTAATATCCAATAATATACATACTAACATTACTTTAATATTTTAGGATACCTAATGGTCAAGACCAGTCAGTTGCAGTTCTTGTATTATGACTCCTGTACACTCAGAGATTTCTCCCTCACCACCAATTTAGTTCCTAAAGCATTAAAATAGCTAAATTAACTGTTTAATAAAAATGGAATCATAAGTTTGCAAAAAGTTACACAGAAAAGCACAAAAACAACCAAAGGAGCACGTACCTTCTGTAACCACAAAGTTACACAGGGTTTGTGAAAGAAATGGTGACAGGGCAGCTCCGTTATTATTTCATCTTTTACGTATTCACTGCAACAGATAGCACAACATTGTTCCTGACCTACAGCTTAGAAGAAAAAAAAAACATTTTAACATTTAATTTAAACTGAACCCAAAGCAAAATATAATTAGAAGACATCACAACAGCTAATCATAATACAATGAATATTACAGAGTAAGCATGTCACCGTTTCCAAAGTGATCTCAATTTGTGTTCCTAGTGAATTTACTACACAGTACTTTAGTCTAATTTTCTTAAATATTTCACATACACTGTTATGCAATGTTATGACTGGGCTCTAACATATTATAAAAATGAATTTTTAGTTAGTTCTACCATACCATTATGATCTTCTGTAATAACGGTTTGTGGCAGACAGTCTATGCTTTCTTTACTGGCTGGTGGATGAGCCTGCTCCACATCAACTGCAAGAGATTCCAAATGTGCCAGAGCAGTCTAAAATGGAAGTTAAGGGGGAAGGAAAGTTCAATTTTCCTTACTCAGAAAGGGTACACACTTCACATTTAACACGACAAAAAACAACATAGAACAAAAAACTTCCTTAAAATATTACGTTTTTAAATGAATGCTTTGTACAAGATATTCAGACCAATATTACCATTTTTTTCCAGTGTCAGATGACACAAAAAGGTAATACAATCTCTTTATATACACATTTGGTTTCAAGCATCAGTTAGGTCATTAGCTAAGAGTTATTGTCTCAAACTACTCCCAAATGAATATCTGCACAGAGCACAAAATGACATTCAGTCATGACTGACCATTTTCTTGATAACACTGCTATCATCACTCATCACCTCCTAAAAGCAGTACCTGTGGTCTCATGTTAACAGATTTCCTAGTTTTGACTCCAATATTTCCTAAAAAATATAGACTGGTAATATTTCTGGAAATAAAAAGGGTTTGACTACATATCATATTGACTGCATTCACTGTCAATAAATGAGATGTAGATGAAAAATCTAAGACCTATGTAATAAAGGAGGTGGTGATAATTTGGTAGGCACAACTTGTTTTTGACTCATTAAACCAACATATAATGCAGACAGGAAATGCACTGTACTCTTACAAGAGCTAAGCATTGGTTGAGACTTAAAACTAAGAACTCAATTCGTCTAAGGTCATTAAAAATCTATTAGCATTTTTCATAAAAATAAGGTGCTGGTGCGATTACACAGATGATTAGGGTCTATCTAGCTAAAATCCAAATTTCAGATTCAGTTGGATAAAGTATTTTTAATTCTCCATTTACCTGAACTTACGTAGCATAACATTAAAACAGATAACATGCTCCATCTTAAGTGGAAGCTGCATTTTAGTGAACAGTGAAGCAGTCCTTCGGTAACCTTTACTTAACGTTAAGGGATTGTGAAAGACATGCAAATCAACAGTCTCTAAAGAAATAAGTATTTTTTAGAAGAAAGATACTGTGGAAATGTAGCAGTTTATTATTTTCCTATTGTCCAAACTACAAGAACATCTTCACCACAGGACCGAAGAACTGTTGCAGCAAATATTTCAGTATTACACAGAATGGATTACTTGACTGTTAAATAAATAACTAGTCTATAATGAATCAAAAAAAGCAAAAAATGATGGAATAATGGGTCACACAAAACCCTCAAACAAGCAATCATATTTTGAAGTCAGAGGATCATATCCACTGAAGCACCTGAATTCTGCTTGGCAGTGAATTAAAACCACCTTAAAGTATGTGAAAGTATTGTGTTGTTTATGGTGAATTACCACTGACCCCGGGAAGCTATTTTGGCAGCTGGGAGTATGTTCTTTGTGCTGTAAGCCACTCTGAGCCTTTTGGACAGAGCAGAATATAAATCAAAAACAAGCAAACAGGAATGGAAGTGAAGGAGTTCATCAGCTGCACACGCATCAGTGGGAGCTGTCCAGGTAGCTGGTATGGCTCAAGACTAACATGACGTGGACACACAGACATAATAGCATTTCAGCTGTTTTACAGACTGATGCACCAAATTCCAAAACATCAAGGGTCATGTGGTACCAGATTCTCTCTCATTAGAAAGCATATAATACATGTTAATACACAAACATTACATAACGTATGTCTACTTCTGCATGCACAATATGCCTAACAAATTCAAAAGCAAAGGAACCAGAACAACTAAGACCAACCTATGATTTATCTCCTTGACCCATTCCCCCACAGATGGACTTCATTAGTAAAAAACAATTCATCTCGGCTACTTACAGATGTTAAACCCCCCACCCAGAAGATGGCACTTTACTTTAAACTCAGTGCCCTTCTGCGCTGAGCCCAGCACGTGCCCAAAAGAGGCATTGCATTAGTTAGACCTGGCTCCACAGCATCTGTGTATATCAAGCGGTTTAGTGTGGCCTTAGTGGGGCTTTTGCCTAAAACCTGATTGAATCAGCTATTAGATAAAAGCATCCAAAAGCCCCACTAAAGCACTTGATCAATACAGGTGCTGTGGAGCTGGGTCAAACTAACATGCTGCTTCTTCCAATAAAGCTATTTGTTTCTAACATTCGTAAGCAGCCATAATGACCAGGGAAATAAGCTCAGCTACTTCTTAATTTATTTCACTTTTTAAAAGAGCATACTAAAATTATACTTCAGGTATAAGGAGCCCAAATTTGAATGTACAGTTTGTCCCAGTTATGACAAAAATTTGAATTAGTGTGAAATACTATTGAATACTTGTCAACTCCAGTCCCCACTCTATCAAATAACTAGTCTGCAATAACACATTATTTTAATAAGTTTGAAAATCCAGTAAAACCAGAAGAGAGGTTTTAGAATTACAGGTTAAGATGCAAATTCAGTTCTTTAAAAATCTAGAACGCTTCAGCAGATAGGTACTGAAATATATATCAGTATCTATTGTCCTCCAAAGTGCATACAATTCAGCACAAGAAACTAAGGTGTAATAAGGAACTTGCCATGAAATAAACTTGAATTAGGAATGATAAGAAATAGATGATGAGGAGAATTTAGTCTCACAAAGTAAAAGAAACAATTAGAAATGCAATATATGTATGTCACAGACAAATCTTTAAGATTGTAAAAGACCACAATAAGCAATTAGTTTATTTCTGTTTTAACGGGCACAAAACACCTTAAATAACAGGACATCGTAATATTCCCCCTCTGATACGAAGTTCTACAGCGGTCAGTAACAGATGCAAGACAAAAGAGAAAAGTAGCCAATACACAAAGCTAGTGGATTAACAAGCTGCTCATTTGAATATTTTGGAGGCCCCCTCAATCTTTAAACAGTGAGACCAAGAGAAAGACAGTTTACAGATATTTAATTCAAGGGTCCTGTTTACTGTAAATCAGGATGCATCATAGCTCATTCCTGAACTAGCTTTAAACTAGTTAGCTCGGGTGCTGATAGCTGTGCTGTGGAAGTACAGATCTCAGCATGGGTGAACCCCTCAAATGTTTACCTAGCTTCTTGTGTGAGTTTTGTAGCTTGTGCTGCGTTCCAGGCTGCAACACCCATCCTTACCAGTTCGCTAGTTTAAACCCAGCTTGGGGATACCTACGAGAGCTGGAACTTCCAACTCCAAGACCAATCTCCTTTCTAAGGCCAAACAACGAAGTAGTCAAAAGAAGCGTCTAAGATTCTGAGTTGAATTTAGAAGCGCATGTTATTAAAAAAAGAAGTTACAGAAAATATTTGTAACTCAACATCAGGCTTCTACTTTTTGCTTAGAATTATACATTCCTTTATTTTATTTTTGTTTTTTCTGCACCTCCTGTCCATTGATTTCCAGTCAGATGTTTTAGCTCTTTCCATCCAGGTCTCATATCAACCTTCTTAAAACTGACACCATGGATTGAACTGGGGCAGCTGAAATAAGAAGCTGCTACAACTTGAGCTGAAGAGACATGGGAGGCTGTAAATTATTAATAACTGTTGATGAGTAGAGGGGAACTTGAAACAGACTCACTAGTGCATTACACAGGTAACACAATCTATTCTATACCCTGATATTAACAGATGGTGATGCCAACATTTATAATATACAGTTTAATTGAAAAAGAATGTAAATGAACAGAAATAATGTGTTAAAGGTTAGTAAGTTTGCTGAACACAGGGCAAGAGTTTTCTTTGACATCACTGTATGTTTCTTGAATCTATTAATAAACAATTAGCTAGCCATTTTTCTCCCCCTAATTGTTAACAGTTAACTGTGACAGCTCAACCTCTCTCTTTCCTAGAGGAAGTTAAACCTGGATTTCTTACTTTCCCATCCCTTTCAAGTGTTTCATGGCTACAGTAAATTGGTTCTGCTGAGTAAAGAAATTTTCTAAATAATTTCTGAGCTACAGACTTAGATAAAAGTAATATTGTCACGGTTGAAAAGTGTCTGGTTAATGAATTTGCTAGTTCAGATAAAGAAATTTTGGGAGGGTTGAGAAAAAGGGGGTGAAATAAATTAGTAACTTGGGAAGAATAAATCATAGTTACAGGAAAGACAGGTTTTTATTATGGAATTCAAATCAGTTACTGAAGCAACAAAACAGTGCATGGCATTTCTAGTCAGTGGTTATACTTCTAAAACACCATTAACCTCAGATGAAAAATGTTACCATTTGTGAAACACCTGGACTCACCATCATATACCTCATAGAAGTAGCCAGTCTGTCTGCTTTCTAAAGTACAGAATAAAATGTCATTTTAAGAATATTTCCTACATTCTGGATGCTGACCTAGGGGGACCAGAAGTCCAACCCAGGAACTAGATAATCAGGAAATACTGACATGTGAAAGTGAAAAGTATATTCATGGAAGTGGTTTATTATCTGAATTTGAAAAAAACTCACATTAATGGAGGGGAGTGTCAAATTTTTAACTGTAGGCATCCCAGAACAGACCAGGCCAAAAGTCTTTCCCTTGCTTCCTCCCCCCAGAAAAAATGCAGAGCTCGGACATCTGAGTAAGCATTGTAACCATGGCACTAAAGAGGAAAAGACTTTTTACATCATGCCTGTGTTTTGAGACATTTACTTCATTCTCTAACCCAGTGATTTTTTTTGTCTTGCTTGGCAGTCATTTTAGTTTATCTAGTTGCATGTTAAGTGATTTTAAGGCTACATCTACAACGGCAAAAAAACAAGATGAAGTTTTATTTAAAGCTTCCTTTAAAAGCAGTCCTTGAAACAGATTTCTAGCTTGTGTATTTTGCCAGGATGAAATTGGGCTGCACTTTGTTCTGGTTTAGGTAGCTTGCACTCGCAATTTTTGTAAGAAATTCATCTAGTAGAACCCAGTTTTAAGAGAACATGGAACATAGCTTCTAACTCTTCCTAAATCAGACTGTTGGAAGGCAGCATCCTAGATAATCTGAAAGGGCAGAAAAATTTTAGGGGCCCTGGCAGACATTAGATGTATGGTGCAGTAAATGTTTTAATCATGCCATAAATT